GTAAGCAGTTGTTAACAGGGTTATACCTCTATAGTTGTCACACTGTAGCTGGTCACCTTTTTTATGTAACGGGCATATCACGCCTTGAGACCATTCGCAAGGCATGGTCTCATTATGCCAAACAAGAAGTAAAAGCTTATGCAGTGTCTGTAGTAGGGCATCGCCACCATTCTTGTAGAGCTTACTGCAAATTTGATCAACTCCTGGTGATTTATTATTTTTAAGGTTTTTAATGGCTTGGGCAACGTTTTCGATGGTATGTGGTGTTTCGTTTGGGTTGAAAGGATTCCAATCGTTTCGATTTGCTAAGGTGTTATCTGCTTCTTCGATATGATGGCCATTAAATTTTGCATCGAAAAATTCAACCCATCTGTTTAGGATTGAGGCCGTATCATTTAGGATGTTTCCTTCTACATCCTTACAGCTCCTTATTCTTGGCTTAAACTCTGCGCATTTTGTTTAGATTTCTGTAGAACTTTCGAGTTTCATTTTGATTTCTTATCCATTCTGTGCTTTCCAACTGCTTTTGCACAAATTGTCTTTTTTTTCTTCTATGTAATCGTTTTTCTTCTCTTCTTAGTGTCCGGTATTTTTCCTTTGCTCTTCTTGTGCATCCAGCTTGATTTGTCTTTAGGTATGCCCTGTTTTTGTTATCTGTTGCTTCTTGGCACTCCTTGTCAAACCATTCGTTTTATTTAACTGGTTTGGTTTTCCCCAATATTTTTGTTGCTTTGATCGTTTGTTATGTGAAAGTTTAAATCCAACGTTTTTTCAGCATATTTTAAATGCCTCACACTTGTTCGCAAAACTCAAAATTAAAATTTTATGCTATAGGTTTTGAAGGTTAAGATTAAGTAATCGAAACTTTATAGCGACTTATGCCAATACTATATGTCTGTGATTATTAATATAAATAAAATTGATTAAAGCAGACAAAGTAAAACCAACAAAGTGGCATAAGATAATCTAATAAATTGAAATAAATGAGTAGATAACCAAAAATACTACTTACATGCCGGTACAAGAATTTTTAATTAATGATTTAGAAAACATAGTTCAAACTATCCTGGAATGCTGGTGATGGAAAATCATCGGTTTTATTGTAACTGTTTGACAATTAAAGAGGAGAGATACTAACAAATAAAATAAGAAGTAGGTATTGTGTAATTGTTTGTTAAAGGAAAGTAATGTTTTGTATTACTAAGAAAGAGAAGAAGAACTGTCACACTTTAACCTACAATGGCATGTCAAATTTACCCCTTAAAAATCTAGTAGATAACAAAAAACTAACTTTTTTGCCAGTTCCTCTCCTATAAGTGATGTTCTTCTTCTTGTTCTTACGGTGCCTATCCGTTCCGGATGTTGGCGATCAACATGGCTATCCTAATTTTGCTTGCTGCTATTCTGAATAGTCCGGTTGTCGATGTATTAAACCACTTTCTCAGGTTTTGAGGCCAAGATATTCTTCTTCTCCCTGGTCCTTTCTTTCCAAATACCTTTCCCTGAAGAATGAGTTGCAACAAGCCGTATCTCTGTTCATTCCTCATAACATGGCTAAGATATTCTAGTCTGCGTTCTTTGATGGTGTTAATAACCTCGCGTTCCTTGCCTATTCTACGTAGGACCTCAACATTAGTCACACGATCCACCCATGAAATTCTTAAAATACGTCTGTAACACCACATCTCGAATGCCTGGAGTTTTCTTAAAGAAGCTTCGGAAAGTGTCCAGGCCTCTACTCCGTATAATAACGTAGAAAATACATAGCATCTAATGAGAGAGATTTTGGTAGCAAGTGGTAAATCGTGACTTCTGAAAAGAGACTGATGTAGTATCAGTAAATGCCCCCTTTTTAAATTAAATGTCTGTTTTGTATTTTTGATTGTGTTCTGTTTGTCCCTAAGTGTCTTTGATTATCTTTAATTGTTTTAATTTTAATATATTTGAAATCACAATTTTCTGCCAAAAACAGAGGACAAATCAATTTATCGCAATTTGATAATTACAAGTTGGAGTTATTGCACACCCACAAATTATACCTCTACCTTCATTTATTATCATATAGCTATTACAAGTTGGAGTTATTGCACACCCACAAATTATAACTCTACCTTCATTTATTGTCATATAGCTATCCTTTTAATAAAAAAATATTTCAATCAATTACCACACATTTTTAAAATATACATATTGAATAAATATAAATAATTTTAAACTTTAAATAATATAAAACATCACTTTCTTTTAACAAAAAAATACTCAATACCTACTTCCTATTTTATTTGTTAGTATTTCTCCCCTCAAGAATTTTCCATCTAATTGTCAAACAGTTACAATAAAACAGATGATCACCCATCACCAGCATTCCAGGATAGTTTGAATTGTTTTCCAAATCACTAATTAAAAATCCTTGTACCGGAATGTAAGTAGTATTTTTGGTTACTTACTAATTTATTTCAATTTATTAGATTATCTTATGCCACTTTGTTGGTTTTGCTTTGTCTGCTTTAATCAATTTTATTCATAATAATAATCACAAACATATAATATTGGCATAATTGCTGTAATTTTGTTTATAAGACAGCACCCTAATGTGTTTTTTTGTAATTTTAGCATTTAATTTACAAGGTACCGTAAGACCTGAAGATGCATAGCAAATTGTATTATGTGAAACCGGTCGTTGGTGATATAATTAAATTGATTGTCTTATTTTACTTCTTTTTACCTATTTGAACTCTTTACCGTTAAACCGCATCTTAATTTTTGTCGATACGACACTTAGATCCAAAGATATCGAATTTTTACCGTCAAGCTAATACAAATGTGATTGAACATTAATTTCGCGCACGTAACACATTCAAAAACGAAGGTCGCTTCAAGCGTTGTTTCTGAGAGAACGGTTCATTCTACACAAAATGTTGTCCTGAAAATAAACATCAATTATTAAAATTTAAAGTTCTGCGTGCTGGGGCTTCTTCTGTTAATAAAGCTACGAATTATTTAGACTTTATGTGTTTGTCAGGATTTGCTGTTTTGGTCTTTTGTGCTTCCGTCTCTAATTCTCTTCTGATTATCTAATTCTGTACACCTAATTCTGGCTTTTTTTGCCTTATCTAAAATATTAAAAGCCGGGATTGAAAATTTAAAAACGGATACCAAATCGGCAACTCACTTGATAGAGGTAAAATTCCTAGACGGCACGCCAACTTATCCTTATTTACACTAGAAGTAGTAATTTTTTCGCTAAGGCTATCACGTTGCTTGGCTTTTCGTTTGATTTTACTGACATTTTTAAAACAAAAAAAAAATCAAAGGATTAAAGGGACATTCACAACTCGATTAAAATTAACTGTGCTCGAATAAAATAAAAATTCTTCAACTCACAATCTACTATTATTACTTCATACTTGCTTTGAAGAGGACTAATTAACCAGTCTTTTATAATCAACCACTTAGGTGGTTCTAATCTAATGTTGGAATAAAGGGACATCTACAACACATGCCATGAGTTACGTCAATTCTTGTGTCTGATAATAAAGATAATAATTTTATATATAGTGGCTGTGTAATAAAGGTGACACATTGTGTAATAAAATCAAATAAAGTTAAACAGTACCAATTGTGGTAATTTTATCTTGAAAATTTTAAATTACCTTTTTTTAAGTTTTGTTTAAAAAATCTTGTATCTACAAGCAGTGATAAAAATCACTGCTTGTATATGACACGATTAGCCTATAACATTTACAGCACACAATCATTTTAGAACTATCAAGGCCACAGTCTGAAAATTCTCAAATACGCAAAATATAGTCCGTCTAGAAAGTATCCGGAAAAAAGAAAGCAGAGTTATAATTTTACGGTATTTATTTCAATCATTTGAAATATAAAATTTTTCATCCCATTTACTTATATAACCTCCATTTAAATATAAACACTTAACTAAACCTCCTGGTACACCCGAAACTAGGTCAAAGCCATAATTTTCGGTAATGGTGTTACAGGCCTGTAAAACTGATCGAATCAAACCTTCTTTATTTCGTGGCGCTGCTCGTCCCACTTAATTTTCATCAGTACCCATATGTTTTCAAAGGATCTGGAGAAGCTGCTGGCCACGGAATTGTTCCCAATTCGTGTTCTTGCATCCAAGCTTGAATATAACCAGAAGTATGACATCTTGCAAAATCTTGCTGAAAACGCCACCCCTCTAGATAGAAAACATGAGCCGTTTCAAAAGAAAACCATTTAGGATGTCACAATATTTAGCACTATCAACAGTACCATCACTATACAGAAAGGTGTAGCGCCACACTGATACATTGTTCCCCAAACCCTTATTTCAGTGGGAAATTTGGAAATTTGAATGGTAACATTTTCTCTTGATAGGACTTTTAAATGATTTGCACCAAGTTGGAAACAACGTTCATCAGATATAAAGACTATAAGATTATTAAAATTATCTTCCCGAAAACGATGACAAAAATCTATTCTTCGTTCGTTGCCTTTGCAGAGGTGTCATTGTGGTGATTTTTTTGAATTAAAGCCACTAAAGCATTTAAATTGTTTACGCGAATCTTACGTGGTTTACCTGAAACTGGTCTGTCTCATATCTATCCCATTTTTTATCCTTTTTATTGTCTCATACACTGCACTTTTTCCAAGTTCAGTCAACTGCACTAATTTTTTAACGTTTCAGATACCCTTTCTATACAAATATTCCACCACTTTTCTTTTTTCTACTTGCGACATTATTTCACAAATCTTAAGACTGTTTCCAAACAACAATATTTTACTGATGCTGTTGTCATGCAATTTTGTCTATAACCTACTATCGACACAACCTACTTGATGCATTACTTTTGTCTTAAAATGTTATAAAAAGGAAATCTATTAAAATTAGGAAAAATATAAAATTGCGGATACTTTCTAGACGGACTATATATAACCATTTATACTAAACCAGTTTTGTAAAATCAATATTCTAATCAATCGTTTTTTTTTAGCTAACATAGCATCATTTGTTTGCGGCACAGCTTTTGGATGGACTTCTCCAGAAATTCCAAAACTAAACAATTTAACAACAACTCCACTGGCAGAAGTTTTAAGTCCTTCCCAAGAAGGTTGGGTCGGCTCATTCTTACCGTTAGCAGCAGCCATTGGACCGATCGGAGGAGGAATTATGGCAGACATGATTGGAAGAAAAAAATCATTGCTTGTGGCCACACTACCTTTTTTACTTGCGTTTTTATTGAATATTATGGCTAGTGCAGTTTTCTATTTTTATGTTTCTCGATTTTTGTGTGGTTTGGGAGTGGGTATGATTTTTACTGTCTTGCCAATGTATATTGGGGAAATATCTGATGATGAGGTCAGAGGCTCTTTGGGATCATTTATGCAGTTGTTTATAGTAATTGGATTACTGTTTTCTTATGGACTGGGACCTTATTTGCCAGTAAAAACATTTAATATTATATTATTATTCCCCCCAGTGATATTTATAGTTATATTTTTGTTATTTATACCTGATAGTCCCTACTACCTCATACAGAGTGACAATTCCGAAACTGCTTTAGAAGCTCTCATTAAATTAAGAGGTGGAAATAAATCTTTAGCCCAAAAAGAATTAGAAGTGATTAAACTTCAGGTGGAGGAAGACCTTAAAAGTAAAAGCAGTTTTACAGGAACTTTCAAGACAATATTTAGTTCGAAACCATTAAAAATGGCGTTGTTTTTAGCTCTTGCTTTAGTAAGTTGGCAACAGCTTTCTGGAATAAATGTTGTGTTGTTTTACAGTCAAAACATTTTCACAGATGCAGGCGTGTCTATACCTCCAGAAATATGTACAATTATTATAGGAATTGTTCAAGTTCTGGCAAGCGGTACTACTCCTCTTCTTGTAGAGAAGTGGGGTAAGAGGTTCCTATTAATGTTCTCTGGAATAGGCATGTTCATATCTCAGGGTGTATTAACATACTTCTTTTATCTTAAAGATAACCAGCACAAAGATGTCTCTAGCATCGGGTGGGTGCCAATTTTAAGTCTTGTAGTCTTCATTATTACATATTGTCTCGGTTTCGGACCTCTACCATGGGCAGTTATGGGAGAACTGTTCCCAGGAAATGTAAAATCTGTAGCTTCTACAGCTACGGCTTCATTTTGCTGGATTCTTGGGTTCTTGCTAACTAACTACTTTGGTGCAGTTGCAGAAGTTATAGGAAAATCTGGATCTTTCGGTTTCTTTACAATTTGTTGTCTTTTGTCCGCTATTTTTACTTTTAAATTTTTGCCCGAGACAGCGGGAAAGAGTCTTAACGAAATCCAGGCTCTTCTAGCAGGAAAAAAATAAATGACAATTTTTAAATGTTGTTAAATTTTGATTTCTATTTTTTTTAATAGATTGTCCAGTTTAAGACTGCTAATCATTCTAAAAATGTTACCTAACTTTATACAAAAGCTTTAAGCAAGTTTTATAGATAAAAAGTAAATAATTTTGTATTCAAACAGTACTTCAATGTTTTTGACTTATGTTAGGCAAGGAAATTGAATGCAGGAGTTCAGAAATAATAAATAGTCTGTACCGAAAGTATCCGACTTCGTCCATACTCCGCAATGCTTTCTTTTCCGTCATTCAGCTCGGAGTATCCTTGTCTGTAATTCACAATCAATTGAATAACACTACACCATTATAGTAGGTATTCAGTTTCATCGTAGCATTTGTTTCTTTAAGCTATAGCTTTCTTTCATTAAATACCTTTTTAAATGTATTTATTTTTCAGTTTCGGAAACGCGAATAAGTCGTAGTCTAACCTTCGGTTTTACCAAAAATTGTTCCACAAGGTGTCATGAATGTGCTGAAACGTTTTCGTAATAAAAAATTCCAGTTGATTCACCCAAAAATGAGGTGAAATGATACTGCGGCGTTATGCCGATATGTTGTAATGATACGAGCTTTTAGCTGTAGTGGCTCGGATTAAAGCGTGCTATTATTATGAACACTTTCTGTCTGTTGAATACAACGGCGCTGGAACATTTTGGTGCGAAGTTATGAACCAAATATTATTATTGGACAGCGCAGTTTGTGTTAGTACCGTTTACGTTTGGTGTCTTTTTATCTGATCACCTATGTTGGGAGTATTTTTTCAATGCACTATAGCAATATTTTGACATTACGATAATAACAATCAAGAATTTTATTTGTTTCAACTACTAGAAAAGTGCTTTGGAAAAATGTCTTTATGTTTATGATCACAATAACCTATTTTCTGTAGTTATCCTTTTTATACATTACTTTTGTTTTATTTTTATAAAAGCATTTGCGTTAAAACGTTCAAATACGAAGACTGAAAAAAGGTTTACTTATTTATTCATTTTATTTAACGTAAATCACTGTTTTACTTACATCAAACTATTTATTTATTTATTACCTATTTGTAACCATTTGTACATACTGTATAGACACAAAGAACTGATTATTGTAGTCAATGATGATTTGTAAATATGTATGTTTTATTACAATAAATTTTATAAACACTTATTTTTTTTACTTTTAATATTTTGATAAAAATTTGAGCATGAAAGGGCCAAGGAAGTAGTACCAGAGGAAATCTTCATGAAACATGGATGAATGATTGAAAATATGGTGTTTACGCCATGAAAATTTTGCAGAGCAGAAGGAATGTAGCTGTCGGCAGTCTGCTGTCTAAGTGTACACCTACATTGGAACCGTATTTCTCCCGATCCGATATCTGGCGACGTCGGCCGACGTCGGAATAAAAACAAACTCAAGGTATTAAATCAGAGTGCCTATATTGCTTCGTCATGGAAGCAGTATAGGCACTATCGGGCGACGTCGGCCGACGTCGGATTGAAAACAAACTCAATCATAGTGCCTATACTGCTTCCGTGACGAAGCAGTATAGGCACTCTGATTTAATACCTTGAGTGTTCTTAATCCGACGTCGCCAGATATCGGATCGGGAGAAATACGGTTCCAATGTAGGTGTACACTAAATGTATACGTATCTTTCGTTTGTTTTTTTTTCACATGGTGCTAAGAATATGCTAAGTCTGAATCACTGCCCAAAAAAACAACAACTCTTTATATAGCGACAACTAACTGTAGCTCGGTATCGAAAATATAAAATAGGAGGTCATAGAAATCAGGGAAGAGAGACGGAAAGATAAAGAGGTATTTAACAGAGATATACATCCATCCGGCTAAAAAGAAGTGACATATCACAGCTAAAGGGTTTGCAACTAGACGAATTAAACAATAAAATAACAACAGAACTACTAGAAGCAGGCCTGAAGATTGCTAATAAACAAAAGCGAAAACAACAAAAAAATAGCGCTAAATCACAAGATATGCTAAAAAAAACGACGACAACTACAATGATAACAAAAGAAATACAGTGGAGTTTACCGAACTAAACAAAACCATAAGAAAAACAGATAAAGGAAGATTTAAAGAAATACCAAGAAGACCGCATTAAGAAAATCATAGAGAAGAACAAAAGTTTAAAAACAATGAAGACACCCAGACAGCACAAGACATCCCTGGGACGTCCATTTTATGCCATTTTAAGGTCCAAACGTCCCAGGACTTCTTTTGGACGTCCGAGGGACGTCCAAAGGATATTTATAGTCGGACATACCAGGGACGTCTCATAAGGTCGTCCAAGGGACGTCCCATTAGGGATGTTTTCTAGATGTTAACTGTGTCATTTTCTTACTTAAGTATATTTTTTACAAAATATAATATCTTCCTACTAAACTTTATTTTAAAAAGTTATATTTAGTTTTAAATACCATTAATTTATACGAAAACAGACAGAGGCCCCTTTAGAGAAAAATCCTTATCCTATAGCAGAGCTGTATCTCTAAAATTTTGTTCTGTAGTGGAAGTGAGTGAGGTTAGAAAGAATGTGGTTATGTTTTAACGACGCTTAGCTTTAGCCACTTCGGAATCTTTTATTTCTCGAATTATAATCATTGTGATTGTGATTGTAATTAGGGGTACGTCCAGGGGACGTACTTTTTGGTAACATTTAGGTCTTATTGGACGTCCCGGGGACGTCCAAATTATGTAAAACGGATGTCCGGATATTTAATGAGGTACATCCTTCGGACGTCCATGGGACGTACTTGTGCTGTCTGGACAAATACAGGAAAAAGAAAACTAATCATGCTTAAAGCTGAGAACAATGAAGAAAGAGATCTAGGAGAAATAGTAAAAATCACAGAAAGATATTACACAAACCTATACAGTTCTAAAAATGACCCACCACTATCATCTAAACAGAATCTCTCGAGGAAAATACAAAATGTTGTCTCAGAAGTATTACCAGAAATAACTGAAGATGAAATCGAAAAATCCATAAAAGACATGAAAAGAAATAAAGCGGCCGGTGAGGACAAAATACTGGCGGAATTGCTAAAAGAAGGAGGAGACACGATAAAAAAATGCTAAAAATACTGTTCAACAAATGTCTGTTTGAAGGTAAAATACCTAAACAATGGAGAAATGCCAACACAATTTTAATACATAAGAAAGGAGACCGAACAGACCTAAACAATTTCCCTTTTGTCACAACTATATAAAACCTTCACAAGAATAATAAACAACCGACTAACCTATAAACTTGATAACTACCAACCAGTGGAACAGGCCGGATTCAGGAAAGGATACAGCACAGTCGACCATCTACATGCGCTTAAAATCTTAATTGAGAAAACCAATGAATACAACCTTCCGCTGTACTTAGCATTCGTAGATTATGAAAAGGCTTTCGACAACATTGAACACTGGGCGGTTGAAGAAGCTCTGGTCAATAGTAGAATAGATTCAAGATACCGACAATTGATACATGATATTTACCAAAACGCAACCGTAATTCTGGACGACAAATTAATAACGGATAATATAAAAGTTAAACGAGGAGTCCGACAAAGCGATATAATTTCACCTAAACTGTTTACCTTGACCCTCGAAGACATAATAAAATCAACAGATTGGGAAAACAGAGGTATTAACGGAAAGTACCCAAATCACCTTAGATATGCGGATGATATACTCCTGATCTCCTAGGAACAACAAGAACTGGAATTAATGCTAAATGAACGTCATGAAAAATCACTGCAAAAAGGCCTAAAAATTAACTTCAACAAAACAAAAGTAATGACAAACACAGAAGACCAAGAGGCAATAAAAATAAAAACAGAAAAAATAGAACAGGTAAATGAGTATCTATCTAGGACAAGCAATCAGAGCTAACAGAGAAAATCAAACAGCCGAAATATCGAGACGAGTAAGAATGGTATGGGCAGCGTTCGGCAAACTTTCTTACGTTCTAAAAAATTAAACAATCTCTCTATACTTACGAAACAAGGTATATAACTCCTGCATAATACCGGTGCTCACTTACGGAGCACAGACATGGACATTTACACAGGCCAATTTGGATAGGATAAAGAAGGCACAAAGAGAGATGGAAAGACAAATGTTGGTGTATCACTTAGAGATAGAAAACGTAATCAGTGGATCAGAATCAGAGCAAAGACAGTAGACGCGATAGAACAAGCAGCAAAATTGAAATGGAAATGGGCTGGACACAATGAACGTCTCCAAGACGGACGATGGAACAATGCCATCGGAAAGTGGCGTCCATACAATGCAAAGAGATCAAGAGGCAGACCACAGATGAGATGGAAAGATGACATCAGGAAACAAGGAGGTCCCACATGGCAGAGAACAGCTCAAGATAGGGAAAGATGGAGAGAACTGGGGGAGACCTATATCCAACAATGAAACGATAGAGAATAGGTTCAAAAAAAAATATACATCCATCAAAAATAACCGACGTAAGATGCCTCAACTCAGCAGATGTAGGTAGCGATCATAGTCTAGTATTATGTAAAATAAGAGAGCGGCGTCAAACGATATCTAAGAAGATGTACCAGAAGTCCATCTGGAATAAATAGAATCGACAATTACATAAATAAAAAGCGGTAAAACGACTGTAATAGAAGACCAATAATTTACACGATATTCAAATAGGTCATCAACAACAGATTAACAAATGCATTAGATGCTGTACAGTCAAGAGAGCAAGCTGGTTTCAGAAGTGAAATCAGTACCGTGGATTATATCCATACACTTCGAAAACTAATGATTAGAGCTAAAGAATATGAAATACCGCTAGCACTAATCTTCATAGATTTCGAGAAAGGTTTCAAATCTATATATCCCATGGTAGTAATAGAAGCTTTGATCAACCAAGACACCAAACAAATATGTATATACAAGCAAAAGCTAAGGAAAAATTTAAAAATTTGAACCTCTTCTTT